GAGCAATCTGTTTACTTTTCGCCAACAGTGGTTTGCCTTATTGAATGCATTTTCTACCATTGATCCATTGGCAAAATTGATAATTCATCATAGCACACCAAAAAATAATCAGGGTTGTGCATATTCGGACACATTATTGGGTGCACTCTTCAGCATAAGCTGTTTACCAAAAACACCTAAAGATCCATATGATCTCTTTGATAAACCTTTACAGCAAGTACGACGATTTTTCCTATTAATCAAATAGTTTTTTAAGCTATGCAATTTTTGTTTTATACATTATCCAAATATCACAGTCAAATACAGTCATGGAGGGTACAGTATGGACAACGATGGACAGTTTAAGTGAAGCCCTGTACAAGGTTTTCCATTCCTTGTTGAGGTGTTCGACGAACGTTCGTCACTTGACTTTGCAATGGTTGGGTAATTGCCTCCATGCGAATGCAAATAGGGGAAAACTTTGGAACTCTCATATGGAGATGGGATTACTAGGGGTACTGTGTGTGTCGGATGGTTTTATGCTGAATGTGGGCAATGTACTGTTACGACTTTGTCAACCATTTTGTGCTAAATTGAATGATGCCAAAGTACCAAAGATAGATCCTACGTACTGTAGTGCAGAGGTTGGTTTTCTAAGATTTAAAAAAATATGATACAATACTTGTATTTAATTAGGCTGTTTTTATTTTGAGAGACAAGTGCTATTGTCGGCATACAAGTGTTTTATCTTTATTTATTGAATGGCAAAAAGTATAGAACGACGTTTGTGTCGACTGTAACTTCTAAAAAGAAAGTAGCTTTAGTGTCTCAGATGTTAGATTAAATGCGTCTGAGTCTGAATACTTTATAAATAATAAAACTGATACATACAAACTTATCAATATATGCAATAAACAAATAAGTTCTAATAAGCATTTATTTTAGCAATTTACCTTATATTCCTTTTACACAAATTTTGATTCTCTGATCAAACTTATAAACTATACAAGGGCTGGTATCGAATCTGGGATTCATTAATCATAAATTAGTCGCTCTCGCAGTTCTCACATACAGTTACCCTTCTGGTCGCATTTTTAGGCAAATAATGAAACTGAGAGTCTGCAACGTGGTATACATATGAAAGGATTGAGTTCAGAAACATGTTTAATACCAACTCCAGAGGGTGAAAGTCGACCAATGTCAGATTCGTTCGGATTTATAACAGAATGTTTTTTCCTTACACATCGTACATTAGATCTTGGTTACAGAGTTATCTTGGACAAATTTTTGAAGTAAGCAAATAATTGATTCTATAATTTTTAAATATATAGGATCTGTTCTCTCTCATTGTTTAAATATTATCATTTTTAATTTTACAGAGCAAATCAAGATTTGGCTAGGATACAAAGAGCTTACAACGACGCTCGAACTGGTGGCAGTTCAGAGGTGCTAGAGCTCATATCACAACGAATGGAAGCTGAGATGACAAAGTACATAAAGCATATTAATGCATGCACATTTTTAATTCTCTTCATATTTTTATAATTTTATGTATATATACAGGATGTTAAAAAAAGGTCGGGACCCCGGTTTTTCTTTGAAGGATTCCGATCTTTTTTAAACACCCTGTATATATATATATGGAAATTACCACCAAATGTTTCGTGCGTGGGTAGAACAAACTATCTCTTAAAGCGAGTCTATTAGTGCCGGAAATGTTGAGTCATTTGTCGAAATTTCACGCAATGACGGCGTTTTGGTTAATACAAGTCAATTTATACGTTATAACCGAAGAAGGGAATAAACAAAGTTTTGTACCAACACATTATACATCTGTTACATTCCCGTTATCAGAAACTGTTCCAATTACATTAAGGTATGTTGTATATACAGATATCAAATCATAATAATTACGAATGAGATTAATATGAAAATTAATAAGCCCGTGTCTATAGATGCATTCCTGAGTTCGTAGTAGAGAATACCATTGGATTCTTGTGCTTTTTACGTCGTTTAAGTCCAAACACGTTTGAGGAACAGGGTGCGAGTTTTCTGAATCCGATCTTAACGGAAGTAAGTCAAGGTAGAACAAAATGTATTCTCATCATGATTGTTAAAGTTATATATTGTTTCCTTTAGATTATAGTTTTGATGGAGTCTCAGCATCGTCTTTACAACCCGCATCTGCGTGCTCGTTTAGCTGAAAGTCTGGAAGCGCTTTTGCCGACTATAGACGAGAATGTTGCTCCCGGGACACCAAACTTAGGAACATTCCATAGGGAACAACTGTTTCTTACTCATCCACACAGACAGCAGGTGAATAAAGTTCTCCTTTGAATTTTTTAGCAAGAAATTCATACATATAGTTGATTATCTCTCGCGTGCTATTCTATTTACAAACAGATAATTGTCAACTTACTGCATGTGTTTGTAAGTATTGAGATGACTGGGCAAAGTGTACAGTTTGAACAAAAATTCAATTACCGTCGTCCAATGTACATTGTTATGGACTATTTATGGAAACTTGCCGAGCATCGTAATAATTTTGTGTAAGACATTATATCTAATCACTGTCTTTGTTTGGTACTTAAAAATTCGATACCTGATAAATAAAGCTTTCATATAATATAATGTATCAGTACTTTAGCTCAAGAAGCTGAGAGCAACATGGAAGCTGTCCAACCACCTTTGTTTCTACGTTTTATTAATCTATTAATGAATGATGCTGTGTTTCTTCTGGACGAAGCCTTATCAAATATGGCACAGTTGAGACAAATGATTCAAGCTAGGTATTTTTAAAAATGCGTCTTTCTTTCACATATTGCTCAAGATTATTATTTTCTATTGTACCTGTGTATGTGCATCATATTTCTTAAATTAAATACTTTGTAATACATTTGCATTAAATATCACTTTGTGTTTTCGAACAAAAGGGAAAGCGGAGAATGGAATAAATTGCCACCAAATGAACGCGAACAACAGGCAGCGTATCTTCAGCATATTGGTATGATTGCTCGCTTTGATAACATTCTGGGTAGGAAAACTATACAAACGATAAAAATGTTGACTACCGAAATAAAATCAATATTTTGCCATCCAACGATGGTGGATCGTATTGCTTCTATGCTCAATTATTTATTACTGCAGTTAGTAGGACCGAATAAAAAAAATCTTAAGGTAAATTTTAGAATCTGTAAATGTTACAAGAAAAACAATGTTATTATAATCTCATATATCTATGAAATTTAGGTGAACGATCAAAAAGAATACGCGTTCAATCCTGCAAACTTAGTGTTAAATATATGTGAAATTTACATTAATCTGAGTAAAAGTGAAAGCTTTACACTTGCCGTATCTCAAGATGGTCGTTCTTATAGTCCAGAATTATTTAAACTTGCAGATAATGTTCTCGGTAAGTTTTTCTATATTTTTTTCTAAGAAGCACTTTATTTAGACTAGAAGAATCTAAAAAGTCTGCATATCACAGTTCGTATCGGTGGTGTGGGAATCTTAGGAGATCTAGATCAATTTGCAAAAAGCGTGGAAGAGGCTGCAAATCAAAAGCGAGAGGAAGATGAGATTTTGACAGGTGTTCCCGACGAATTCTTAGATCCAATTATGTCAACTGTCATGATAGATCCTGTTATTTTGCCATCGTCGAAAATAACTATTGATCGTCAGACTATAGCAAGGTATATTAGTGTACACGAATATATTATATAAATATTTTTTAATTCATACATATATCATAATACAAAATTTATATATATTTTATTAAATATATTTTTCAGACATTTGCTAAGTGATCAAACTGATCCTTTTAATCGATCTCCACTTACAATGGATATGGTAAAATCAAATGTTGAACTTCAACAAAAGATACAAGAGTGGATTTCACAGAAAAAACTGGAGAAAGCATCAAAAGCTAATATATAATTTATCGTCAATTGCATCACGATGGAACAATGTTGAAATTTACACAGTTTCTAAAATAAATTGTAGGTCGTACAAAATATACATCGATGATAACCTTACAGTTGCTAAAGGAAGTTCAGATTCATGGCAATTAGGATTTCGAATCCGTGAAACGAAAAATACATATTTCATATATATTATCGTGTTTTATCATATGTTGTTTCATCGGGATTTTACCACTCGCCGACATTCGATTTGTCCACAATAAAAATAGGCAAGTAAAAAAGCAATTTTGTATACATTTGCAATGTAATTATGTACAGGGTTATAAACAAGTTTAGAGTTACGACAGTAATATCAATAATTACTGGTTGATATAAGATGTTATATACATAGATGGCACAGATGATTTTAGAAATCACTGCATTAAAAAAAGGTAATTGTATATTTCATGTACTGTGTAGAATAAAATGTGTTATTTATGAACATTTATGAACATTGCCTACAATTAATATAATATATTATAGGACCGTACATGTGATAACACAAACTATAGAAATCAAAGCCTTTACACGGTCTAGCTGGATCATAATGCTTGTATGATTCTTATGTGAATTTATATACGTATGTAGTCCCACAGAAACGCGCGCCGAAAAATTTTCGGTCTTGAAACGCTAACTCTACTAAATTACCGCAGTAATATCACGAGATAAATTGATTAGCAATTTAACAAATTTTTGATGCTTAGTCGCCTAAAGAGACGTTGTTCCTTCAGGGTGGCACCCAATTGGACACGGC